TATTTTGTTCATTATTTCTTAAGATATTTTCTTCTTGGAGTTGCAAGAGTCCATGTTGGTCTGTGTATGTTGTTCTGCTTAATGGGGGCTTACAGGTCTATTGTTAGACTCTGGTTGCTTTTCTTCAATCTTTTCTTTCTGTTCTCTGATTAATCATTTTCATTCTTTGTCTTCAAGTCCACTGATTTTTTTCTTCTATCTTTGAATTGATCTAGTGAATTTTTCAGTTCAATTATTGTACTTTTCACAGCTCTAGAATGTCCTTTTGGTTTCTCTTTAGGATTTCTTTTATTTATTTTTTCTATTTTGCTCATACATCACTTTCTTGACTTTGTTTATCATATCTTTTAGTTCTTTGAACATCTTTAAGATGATTATTTTAAAGTCTTTATCTAGTTGATCTGCCGCCAGGTCTTTTTCAAAGACATTTTGTTTGTTTTTTTTCTTCTTTGAATGGATTATACCTTTCTATTTCTTTGCATGCATGCCTTGTGATTTTTTGTTGTTGTTGTTAAAAACTAGACTTTTGAATCTTATGATGTGGTAACTTTGGAAATCACATTCTCCCCCTTCCCTACGGTTTGCTGTTTTTGTATTGGGGTTTTTCTGTTTGTTTGGTTTGATTTGGGTGTTTTGTTTGTTTGTTTGTTTGTTTGTTTTCATCGTTGTTTTGGTTTTTTTTTATTGCCATAGGCTGTCTTTCTACTAACAGTCAGCTTGCACTATAAACCTAAGGTCTTCTCAGGTTTTCTCTTTATTTGCATCTTCCCTGGGCATACGCAGTGACTTTCTAATTCCCTCATATATGTGGTTGTTTTTTAACGTCCTAGTTTTCAGTGTCAGGTTCTCAAAAGGGGAAAAAGAAAAAATGAAATGGTATTAGGAGATACTTGCCATTTAAGTTACTTCAGCCAGATTGGGAGGAAGTTGCATTAATTGGGGGAGGTTTGGCAACAACGGCCACTGCCTCTTTGTCTGCACCTCTGCCATGAGAAACATCATTCAGCAATCAGATCACCGATCTACAGTATTTGAAGGACAGGCCCTTTTTTATTGCCCACCCTGGCTTATGCAAGTTTTGTGCCAGCTATTCCAGGAACACTTGCACAGCTGTCCCGTTACAGGTAGATGTTGCATAGCTGCTACCGTGCTAAGAGCTGAAATTGAATTTACCACTTTACCATCCAATACTTCCCTTGGAAGTTGCATGCCTTTGACAGACTACATGATTTTAAAATTGTTATATCAGATATATTCTACCAGTGCAGTTGTTATCTAGTTGGGATGACAAATTTGAGGTGCTTTCTATTTAGCTGTCTTCCCAGAATCTGCCGTATTTGTTTTTACCATCACTTTAATTTACAGTGATCACCTAAGCGATAGCATTTAACTTCTAATGCAATGTGTCTCAAATTATAATTCAGGGTATATTCTCTGGGTTTGTGAGTTCTTCATTTAAAAAACACTTGTTTATAATTTAGTAGGAGAGAAAGAGACATTAAACAAATACAATAATGAAACTATGATAAATGCTAAGAAAGAAAAAACACAAGCATTTTCTAAACTCCTGTTTTGGGCCCGTTTTTAAATAAGTGGATCTTAGAATTCCTTTTAACACAATTTTTAAGAATGTAATATTGCCCTCTGAAATTGTGTAAGGATACTGCAATGTGTTATAGCAGCAACCCCCATAAGGGCCTTTGTAAATGAAACAGAATAGTAAAAGTTGGATGAGCAAAATTCTGTTTCTTAAGTTTTGTTATTGATGCTTGGGTCAAATTCTTTAGAGATTAGTTATTCTTGCCAGATTATGCCTGCTCCTTTATTACATACTCACACCCATCTCTAAGTGCATTGTAGGACTTCATTATTATCCAAGTTGAAACATGCACAATGGTATGTATTGTTAGTAAATAATAATAGAATAGCAATTGGTTTCTATGGTTTACAGTATATTTTATATTACTTCACTGGATCTTCATACAGTTCTCTTGGGTAAAAGCATGGTTGTTGTCTCTTCATAGATGGAGAAAATGAGTTTCAATAACATTTGTGATTTACCTATATAGTCAAAGTTATTGAATGGTAGAATGAGGTAGAAGGAGGCATAGAACCAGGTCTTTTGATAAATGCCACCTGAAGCAAAATACGGGGAAGGATTTTTCTTGATTTGAAATAACTTTCATACAGATTCGAGTCTTGTTATTTGATTTCTTCCCAAGTAAAGCTGACTATTCCATGTTACCTTTTCTGTTACCCACGGTTCTGGTTATGTATCCCAGGGTCTTAAACTAGCCAAAGTTGCCACTGTTTTTGATTTTAGTGCTCTTTAGTTCAGTTATCTGAAAGTATGTACTTTTCTATGGCTGAATTTTTCTATATCTCTTCCTTCAGAAGTAGCCTGTCCTTTAGCTTTGGTACTAGGGCATTGTGTCTTAGTTGTGTATCATACCCTTCAAGCCCATTCAAATTGTGCTCCCCTGTTCACTTCCATTCCCACCTCCCCCAAATTGAAGAGCCGTGGAGTACTACTTTGTCAAATACCATTTCAAAATGTATTTTATAATACAAGAATTTAGAAAATCTCAGTAAGGATATAATTTATTCCAAGGTAAATGTTTTAATTCTGTACCTGCTAACATAGTCTTAAATATTTTTATCATTATTTTAGGTGGCTAAACTTAAGACAATCACATCATGCTTCTTGAGCTTTATTTATATAGGTTCTATTTTGTGATATGTCTTTTTCAAATTGTTAGGTTTTCTTATCTTGATATTAGTTTTGATTGAAATTTTTGCTTAATCCTCACTGTGAACATTCATGGTTTTTGTCCAGTTTCAAATTCTTTATTCTTATGGTTTCCTTCAAGTATGATTATTCACTCATGTTAATTATAAGATACACCTACAAATAAACTTGTTGTACATAGATTATTTATCTATTCATGTTCTTTAAATCAAAGTTACAAATTATTTTTAATAATCTTTATTCTTTATTCTGAACTGAACTTTAAAATTGAAATCAATTTCATGGTGTGAATGCTAATATTTTAGTAGCAACTCTTACCTGTAGTTTTTCACAACTGCCTTAGTTATTAACTTTTTACAAACTTAGTACTTGATTCAATCTAGGTCTTTTTGTTTGTTTGTTTTACTTTCCATTATAAAAAAGTTTCCAAAATACTCAAATATGGAGGGAGTAGTGTAGTGAACTTTCCTGTATACTCATCACTCAACTACAACAATCATCAGCTTATGTGTACTCACCCTTATATGTGATCCCCTCCCACTCCCTACCTTCCATTGTTTTATTTTAAAGTAAATTTAATACTTTTAGCATCTTGTTTGTATATATTTCAACATCAGGTAGACTTTTTAGATGACTAGAATCAAAAGTGAACTTGTATATAATGATGATACATTGATTTTGATAAAAACTAACTTTTTTCACTGTACCTTTGGTAATAAATGAGCAGAGGGAATCAACTGGCTTTCTTGCCATAAGTTTTGAAGAATGTAAGTTCTTTTTTAACTTTAAATAGCTTTGTTCTTTCTTGCCCTCTTCTCTAACTGTTGAAGCAAAATAAGGTGAAGTACCATTAATTTTATTAATGAAGTGAAATATCAATTTGAGGAATCTCAATAGGTCATTGGGAAATGAGTAATTTCAAATATTCATAAAATCTCAGATGTCTGTAAGTTGACTTGCTTTGCTTAAATCTTACAAATAGTACTTTTATCTACTAGATTTTGTTTTCACTGAATCATTCAAAGATAAACTATTATATTCAAAGATAGGTCTGCACAAAAAGTTAATGTCATGCTTATATATAGTGAAATAATACCTACTCATTTTAACTTGTTATTTTATGTAGCCCAATGCATACTGTATAATTAAACCATGAAACTGTTGTCTTTAAACATTTTATTATATGATCATCCATATCTTATACTTTGCTGAAAATAATATGAAATGTGAATTCTGAATATTTACTCTTTAGAAAAGGCTATACACTTGGAAGAAAATGATTATTTTGTATATAATGTTTCATACAGCTTCCATGGGTAATTCTTTATTAATTGGAATGGAACTATTAACGTATATAAACGTATCTTCTAAAATTTGTTTGAAGGTTGGTCATTGTTTTTATATTTTAAAAAATGTCATTTGATTTGGTACTTTTATATTTTTAAATATGCATAAGAAAGATAATTTTTTGGGAATCACATCAGTCTTTTGGTATGTTCCTTATTTGTTCTGGTATGTTTTCATTTGGTATTAATTGTATTTTATTCTTTAAATTTTATTTCACCTACATAAATAATCACTTTCTAACTTAACCAGAAAGCCAGGCTTTTTTCCAATCCAAACTTAAATATGTATGTGTTTCTGCTGTTTTTTTTTGTTGTTGTTGTTGTTGTTGTTTTTTGGTTTTGGTTTTATTTTTGTAACCATTATTATTCTGTGATAGGTCTAGAATAACAGTTGGAAAGCAATAACTGCGACTGGAAATAATTGAGTGCTTTTACATTAAGTGTGTTTCCAATATTCCAAAAGTCTGCGATCTATTTCTTTATGTGA